ACAATTATAGTTTTATAAAACGTTATAAATCGATTAATAAAGCTAATTCTATGTAGGAAATTAGGTAATTTTAATATTCAATATAACTTTAAAGTGTTATTGATTGACACTTACCTGTTTTAATAACAATTTTTTGAAGAATATTGATAGGGGTTGAAGTATCAGCTACCTGCGAATTGCAATGGGAAATACCTATCAAGGTAGGTGAATCATGATCTAAATGTATACATATTTCGTGGCTCGCATTGCATTGTGCATTATGTAAAAGACATTTGTAGAGTGAAGTGATTTTTTGTGAGTTTTGAACTTTTATTGTGAAGAATATGGAAAAAAGAAAAGCATTCCCAAATTGGGCAAACGGCGATATGTCCAATCCAGAATGCGGCAAGTACCATAAGTAACATTTTTACATTTTGATATTTCTAACCCTTTTTACTTTCCCTTAATTATATTTTTTGAATTATATTATTGAGGGGAAGTATTGTGATCGCCCAAAAATTTTGACCTCGAGATTTTGATTGATTTTCACGTTATAGAGGGCCCTAGGTCCGAAAAACATGTCTGTATGCCTGTCTGTCTGAAATTTACGTCAACGGTTTAGAAAAACGGCTAAATAGATTTTCACCAAAAATCAAACGGGTAATCTTTATCTGATTAGTTTTTGGAAGAAATCGGAGCGTGTGAGAAGGGGGTTTTTTAGGGGATTTTAAAATTTTAAAAATTCGTATTAAAAGAACGAAACGATAGAATCGAACCAAATTTTATACTAATATTATTTATATTAATGTTCATTATTTTCCATAATATTAAATCCATTGAAGTACTTTGAGGAGGTATTTAGGGGGTTAAGTGTTTAAAAAATTTGTAAACAAAAGAAATGTCAGCTTCTAACCAAATTTTGTATTAATATTACTTATATAACGATATACAATATTTGTAAAATATTAAACCCATTGACGTACGTTAAGGGGGTATTTCAGAGGTTAAAGTGTTTAAAAAAATTGCAATCGATATGTCACAATCGAACGAAATGTATTTATATTAGGTAGATAAGTACCTATTACATCATTGCATTATTTTTCAAAAAATATTAAATTCATTGGTGTACGTTAATTGTAAATATTTGCAAAAAGTAAACTAATTCAAATATAATTTTGCATATAAGTAAACAAGAGGGGCTCTCTTTATCGCATATAACATTAGACTCCGTAAATAGAATCTTTTTGAAATTTAAAAAAATAATAGTACAAAATCTAAACACGATTTCAAAAAAAAATGTCATCTGTCATTTATTCTAGAGAACTAGTAAAACGGAAAATCAATCCAATATACACTTCTGCTAAAAATCTAACATGTAATAACATAAACTTTTATTTCAAGGAATCTACGAAAGTCTGTTGAAGATGTTGATATAGGTATTGACAATATTCCTGCAGTACCTGAAGAAGCAGAATTAGCAAATAGTATTCCTAGTCCTAGTACTGCAATTATTCAAGATAAGTCCACTTGATGAAGGTTCCCAATCAAATTGGGATGATTTAAGACCAAAAAGAAATTTACACCTACACTAAATTAATTTAAATCTTTCTTAACAGAAAGTTTTGAACATCTTGAATAGTTAAAATAAAAAAAAGGTAAAAAAGTAGATGTAAAAAATGGAAAACATGGAAAAATTCAAGTACAAACACTTAAACATTCATTTTTGGTTTCAAATAACAACTGATTAGTTTGCAAGAACTTTCTAACTTTCAATTCTCACAAAAGGTATCAAAAATATGTTCTGGGCTTTCTTTGCATTGCGAAAGGAATGGAAATGTTTTGTTGGTCTACTGTACTTTTTTGGACAATGGCCCTCAGCTTAATTTGTCAATGGAAAAAGTGGTATTTTCCATGATTGGTATAAATCAAGCAATCCCGACTATTAAGGAAAGATGTTCAATACTATTTCTCATTTAAAAATTCCTAGTCATTTGAAGTTAACAGATCCTAATTTTGAGAAAAGGGACCAATGGATCTTCTACTAGGAGCTGCAATATTTTATATGACAAATTCATCTTGTACACAGTTTGTTTTGCAGAAAACTAATTTTGGGTGTTCCTCAAAGGTATAATTTAACTTTAAACGTGCATGTTCAGGAACAATTGGAAAAATTTTGGGACATTGAGGAACCTCCCTGATTAGAATCGGTGAAAATGAGCATAGATAACGTAGAATGTGAAAAGATTTTCATAACTATTACAAAAAGATTAGAAGATGGTAGGTTTTTAGTAAGAATTCCTTTCAAGGAAAGTTGGTGGAAAGGGCAAACTTGGTTGTCCTTAAATGAACAGTTATGGCCTCAATCTAGTTTCCCAATGGTTGAAAATACTGTACATTCCCCCCACGTTAAAAGAAATCATTCAAATAAATTTAAAATTATAACAATTTAAGCATCTAATGGAAGAGGACATAGCTTTGAGATACTTTGTGTAAATTCACCATTGCTTGCTTTGATTTTTCTTGGACCTAACAATAAATGTCGGGTAGTCTAGTTGTAGATCAGGAGTGAAAAGACATGTGGTGTGAGTTATGGGAAGGGATAAACTGAAGGATTTAACTGCTCTACAAAACAATTTTATCAATGAATATATGTGTAAGCCGTTGTATACCCCTAATAAACAACGTACAAAATACTTGATACCCATCTTAACATTAACTATATAAATTTTGAAATTTATTCAAAAATTATTACATCTAATTTAGTTATGATTTTTTTGGGTTCCGTTGCAATAAAATATAATGAATTATTTTAGCTTTTTGAAGATATTGTAAACAAAACGAGAATAATGAAATAGGCACGACAACAGCGGATATTACACCCTCCTGTGTCTCTTAGAATGTCTTATTTACGAGCGCACGATATTTGTTTGTAGATACATCTCCTGTTATCTCTGGGAAACGTATATATTATCTTTACAGTTTTCAACAAGTCTGAAAGTGATACACCATCAAATTTTAATGCCATATATATTGCTTTGCAAAGTGTCAAAAGTTTATGAAGGTATTTTAAGGAAATGGGAATATTTGCTAAGGATAAACTGGCGATGCCAGAGGGAAAAGCTTACAGGAAATTCGGAGAAATTACCTGTTAGGGGGAGATATAATCATAAAGTGTGGGAGGCAAAGTGCAGAGTTGGTTTCGCTAGCAGAATGTATGAACTTTTGAAAATGCAAACTCTTGAAAATTAATAAAATAGTTTGAACAAGAATTAAATATATTCTAATATAGGGACAAATACAGCATTGTGGGGAAATATTTAACGTATTGCTTTGTAATGCCACTTCTTAATCCAGAAGATGTAGGAGATTATTTTGTTCAAGATTTATCTTCAATACAACCACAGAATCCCTGAGTAGTCGATAATTATTATTTCTATAGACAAATTGTAAATTAAAAACGAAATATAATGAAGTTTTCATCTGCAACGTATACAAGAATAATTTTTAAGCACATAAACTAGAATTTGATAACCAAACAATAAATTCTAGTAGAAAATCACCCGCAGGAAGTGGAAATGCAATCTCTACCAAACGGAATTTCTGGGAAAATTTTTACGCCACAAAGAATGCATATTTCTTTTTGATAAAATCCCATTCACATTATTGCATCCGCTTTTCCCCATTGGGAGAGCTGCATTGTTTTCCAGTGACGTCGCTATTTATTTTTATAATTATTATTAAATAAAAGAATGTAAACGAAGACCAAATGATTAAAAAGGCATCAATTAGGAATAAAGATGGAAGCTGAGCCCGCAACAATTTTTGGATATACACAGATTTGCGGAACATTTAGAGAGTGCCCTTTCAACCCAATAACGCTGAAGACTGGATAGAACTAGAACAAGAAGGCACAATCATTAAACCTACATATCAAAAAGTCATTTTTATAAAAATACAAACAAATATAAAATCCTCAAACGCATTTGGATTTGAAAATGCTTCCACGGAAATAACCAATTTCATCAATGCACTTTATACCGTAATACGTACTAAAAATATGGATAGTAGCAAAAGTTATATAGGTAAACTTCTTTATGAAATTACATCTCTAAACTCTATAAAAAATTGCTTCTTAATAGATTGAAACATATAAGAGAAGAAAAGGATCAAATTTTCTTTCATTAACACTTGACCATTGACCAAGCTTACATAACCACAGTCCTTTAAAGACAAAATGTCTTTTTGATTGTGACTTAGACTTTCAATAAAGCATAGCATAAAGGTCTGATTCACAAACTGAACACATTACAGACATGCTGATACTCAGAACTATTGAAATCTGATTTATCAGAAAGGCAGAAGTACCTCAGGTAGTTTACCTAGCTCATTTTATCTTCCACATCTTTAGAATATATTGTGGTATAAACGATACTTTGATGGTACTTTTGACAGCCAAGGAACCTTAAAGGCTCAAACCGAATCAAGTCAAAGCTAATCTGGAACCACATTGAAATACTTAATGATCTGACAACCCAAGATGATGTAACGGTATTCAAGGAAATGAAAAGACTGATGAACTCGCCAAAAAGGGATCATAACTACCATTCACCTGTTGGAATAAGCAAAAGTTTTAGGTAAAAAAACATGTAGATAACCTAAACTCACTGGCAATATATAAAAGAATAATAGTAAGAGATTAGAGATGTTAGTTCATGCTAAGGAGACCAAACACACGCATGACTGCTGAGGTACTGGTGAAGTTTCAGGTATTCATCATTGTGCGAATACTAACAGCATAGTGTCAACTGAAACACCTTCATATGTAGTTATTTCTTGTAGTAATTAGATCACAATAGGAAATTACTACAAATAATATAAGTTAATTTCTACTTAGAAAACTTTAAAATTTAGTATATCCAAATATAGTATGAATTTTTTTTGTTTATTATCTATAGATATTTTGTGAAACGTAATTTTCAAACTAATTTGCATTTGCCCGAAACATGCATCTAGACTCTTACCTTTATCACCTTCATACTCCTGATTGGCACTACATTCCCTGCACACCGCCGTCCGCTGTTGTCGATTCCTCGACATCTGCTGCTTGTACGCCAACTCTTCCAACTCCATGTCTTTGTATCCCTCGGGTGGACTGAGCGTGACGGCGTCGACGAATTCGATGGGGGGCGCGAATTTGGGGCTCTGGGGCGTTTGGGTCTCCGCTTCGAGCTCCTCGTAGGCGCCCCCGCAGTTGCAGTCTGGTTCGCAGCACTGGAGGCGGACCATTTCGTGCTGATAACACGTGCACACGCCGTCGTCGTCTTCTTCGTCGAAATCGCATTCTTCCCTGAAACAATAAAGATATAATACCGTTTACTTTGTTTTTGAATAGGGGTTGCTACGAAAATCCAACATTTAAAAATTCATTTATTAACTATCCGTAAATATAAGAAAAAGAAGTACATTCCAGAATCTTTATTTCTTATTATAAATTTAGTTTCAATAGATAGATTTTAGAAATAAATTTGAAAATTCGGATACAAATCTCAAAAATCCCCATACTAATTATTAGGTCCATCCCCGAAACCCAAAGGGGAAAAACATACTTGGAGATTTGAAAAGATAAATATTATATAAACAAAAAAAAATTGAAATCATTAACGGTTGAAGATTATTTTCCTACGCAATGTTTTAGAAAGGAGGGTCACTATTGTCAAGGAAGAATTATCAAGATATCTCAAAAAATGACAATTAATACTTTTTTCTTCTGTTACCTATTGATAATTTCCTACAGTTCATGGGACGCAAGTGATTGTTTTTAAAATGCATCATACTTGAAACAAGTGGTAGAGAATTTAATATTCTTCTTTATAAACCCAATCCAGATATTGCTGATATTTTTTATTTAGTAAGTACTATGCTGCTCTTATTGTAATAGCTAACCATAATAAATTTAATTATAAGTTTACTCGTAATAAAAATAGCATAAATAAACTACAATAGAAAAGCTTAACTTTTAATAAAGATCTTGTCTTTAGTCAAATAATTTCCAAGTACCAAAATAGCGGAAAATAAATGTGGTTTTCAGGCAAATGATTTTCATAAATTGCCTGGTAAGGAAACCCCTTAATCTCTAGCAAAGGACCCCTAAACATGTAAACATTACAACAAAAATAAACATTGATTTGAATTTCAAAGCCACTCATTTATTGGAATACTTGTGTTCTTTAATTAATTTTTTCGGATTATGCAATATAAATGTTATACCCTGACTAAGTAACTGGTTGTTAATTTTTGTAAAACATTGAAAGTGAGTTACCTTAGATTATTAATATAAAAATAAAGTCAAATGTACGAACAAACACACACGCGCAAACCAACTAAAAGGATAAAACCAAGACAAGGTCGCAAACCAATTACATTCTACTTCTGTTAACATCAATATTAGTGGGCAGAACCACCTCATTTAAGACAAATTGACTATTATTTATCGATTTGAAATGTGATTAGTTTAGTAATTTATTTTCAACTGTTAACGAATATCATAGACGTAGATTTGTTTATAAAAATATATTTTATAAAATGTAAATTCGTATCATTATTTCAGGAAGCCTGTAATGATAGTTTTGTAAATTTAATTTTATAATACATTGATGTACTCATCTTATTCTCTTCACCTAATTAATTTGAATTCCCAGATAAGATTTCCCACTTGACCATTCAGTGTTTTGTTCTGATCGATTCGGTAACGCAGTATGTTCGATGGTCTGTATTTAATTACAGACCCTTTCAGTTGTTTAGTGAACACAACTTCGAATCTTAGAGTGTACTTTTAGTCCATTTAAATGGTTCGTTATGGAATTTGATGGGCGTCATATTAGCAGTAATTTAATTTCTGTTGATATGACATCCAGATTACAAATCACCTTAACTCAACCGCCATTTTATGATGGTGTTTTCTCACTTATAAGTGAAATGGTACCTTCAATCATTGTTAAGTCGCCCCGGAGAGCCATAGCGAATAAAAATAGTCATCTATTTCCATAAATATACATCCAGTTACGGTACACTAAGCATGCGCATTGAATCGTTTTTAGACCATGCTGCGTCATTAAACAGTGCCAAATTTATTTCCAATGTTGAAATTATTTTTTGCTTAATTAAACATATATTGCCCCACAGGTAATAAAAATAGTTCAGTTCAAAATAAAACGTGTTGTGTATGGCTAGTAGGTCTATTAACAGGGCATTGTAGGCTTAACAAACATATGTTCAATATCGGTCTGACAGAAGAGGCCTTGTGCCGATTCTGTCAAGAAGAAGAGGAAACGGCAGAACACGTATTGTGCTACTGCGAAGGTCTAGTAAGACTGAAATTTCTTACACTTGGAGAAGAAAAACCAAGGGCAACTAGCTATACCGGAGAACTACCCAGTCTATGGAGTCTACTACAAAAGACCGAATTAGACAAGGTACTCTAAACAATGATTAAAGGATATCCACAATAGATCTGAAAAGGTCGAGGTGGGGGAGGCCACATGGCCCATAGTCCTAATTAAATCTAATCTAATCTAATCTAATGACAATGAACACTAGTGTTTGTTTACATTGATATAGTAAACTAATAAACCAGTAGAATAGAATAAGATTGTGTACTTTTCATACGTGCTATCCACTTTACTCTCCCCTGCACTATATAAAGTACTCTAGTATCACTAGCACAAACTGTTTACATTATTCTAGTAGCGCATTAGTATACACTCTACCACCGTACTCTACTACTAATTATACTAATATATTTTCATACGTGTTAATCTATATTTTTTTGTACATAATTTTCCTCTGGCTGATCGCGTTTCTGTGTCACAGTATACCTAAGCATACTGGGCCTGTGGCGCATTATAATGAGTGAGCCTAATACGAGTGAGACGATATGCCGAATGCATATAGCCAAAAAGAGAAGACAACACGTCAACAGATCCTTCAAACTGTCAAATAACATATTAATTGGCGCGCCGCTCACAAACAAGGTTGCCAAACCAATGTTGCCAGTCTAGTACAATTCACAAATAGCTACGTTCGTTTGATCTGTCTACAGGTTAGCATACTTTTGTAAATAACCATAGGAATAGAATAAGGGTTATATTTTAATATTTTATCATTCCATTTCTTTTATTTTGCATAATAATTATTTTTCTTTAAATATATTTGACCATAAATATGAGACACGAGAAACTGGCTGAACACAAGTTCTTTTTGGTCTTAATAGGTCCTCACAACATTTTTAGATAGAAATTTGTCAGTTCTATGATCGAGCTGTCAGTTTTTTTTTAAATAACTTGTTTTTTTCGGCCCTTTGTGGAATTGTGTTAAATAGTGTTGAGTAATAATTCATGTATTTATGGTTTAATTATTTAAATTTGATTTACTATGGTTTCTGAATTTACCTTTAGATTTTAAAAACTTCTTTATCAAATAATACCAAATTTTTTAAACTATAAAAAATTCAGTGGCGTCCATCTGTGGCTTAAATACTCTTTTGTATTTTATTTAAAAGTCAATTTAAAATAATTAAATTTCAATACAACAAATCCTTACTCACACCGTTATGCCACCGACGGTAGAGCTGCTGTGCTGTATATGACCTAAACTCTTTGTCAAAAGAAAAAACATAAAACATCAAGCTCTATAAGGAGAAGAAGTCCTTTGATTTTGGAAAAAGATCCGATTAAAAATGGGGGTATAAGAGGAGTTGAAATTAAAAAAGATCATAAATCAAGAAATCAACATGACATTTTTAGTAAAAATCAAGCTCTATAAGGAGATGTGAAAAAAATTTGAACAAAAGTGGGCGGGGGGGGGGGGTGGATTAAGGGAGGTTCTTTATACATATCATAAGGTGTTTTTTACAATAAACGAATAAAAATGATATTTCAAAAAAAAAGTTAGTGTCCGTCTCAAATATATTTCGAACGATACTGCAAAAATATGAAATTTTTTTCAACATTTTTCAATTTTATTTGAATCACTTTTAAATGATTCTAGACAAAAACTTTGCGGATAGTTTATTGCAAAAATTCAGTCTAAATATTTTCCGTACTTTGTAAGCCTTTTGTATACGTACTGTACGGTATTTTTTTTTATCCTATAAAAAAAGTAAATAAAATTGTTATTTCAAAAAAATGTAGTACCCTTCTCGAAAATATTTAGTATGCCACTGCATAAAATATTTATGATTCTTGTATTTATTACAATCACGTTTATTGATGTTTTATTTAAATTGATTCAAAATTAATTATGTAAAATTTATTCAGTGGATTCTGCGAGATTTTTTGTCTCTAGAGCGTTCAGCACTGCACAATTTTTCCTGCAGTTAAAGTGTTAAATGGGCATGCGATGCGAATACTGATTTTGTTTTTAAAATAATAATAATTGTATATATTACCTTATAAGAATGATATAATCAGCATCAAAAAACTCGTTCTTGTTTTCATTGAAGACAACTCGATTATTCTTCTTGTCTTTTTTCCCGGATTTTTTCAATAACGACTTCAAGTTTTCACCGTCCGGGTTGTGTTTGTTCTTTTCCCCACCCCCGTCGGTGCCCATTATGGGACAGACAAAACTTTGCAGATTTTCTACGTATATGTCTGTCTGGTTAACAATTCCATTGCATATGCTTTATAAGTAGCTGTAACAAAGAGAGAAGAAAAATTAGTATATATAACAATAAAATACGTGATGATTATTACTGAGGACTAAATTTAACCTTGCGCATTTTAAATAAGATAGCGGACAAAAAAAAACATCGCAATGTTGTCCTTTCCCACAAGTTGTTCAATTGAAAAAGTCCTACTTGCTTCAGTAGATTTGCAATGAGTTAAATTATTTAATTAACAAATTATTAGTTTAACTAATATTTTAAATAGCTTAATTTAGTTCATAGGTAACTGATATTAAATATGGCCGAATCTAAAAAGACAACATAGTGTTGGCTTTTATGCAACAAAGTTTTAAGCATTGACGTTATGGAACCCTCCAAGCTGGAGGATTATTTGAAAAGATGCTACCCTGATAACTTAACTGACAAATTTAATATTTACTAAAAGTTGCATAGTGGATATAAAACAGTATTTAAAGCAATTAAACTTAACCAAAAATTCTGCAAATAAACAGGATTCTCAGTAGGAAGAAATTATCAAGTAAAATCACAGTATCACGATATGTTAATGATGGAAATGTTTTGAGTCTACTAATAGTTTTTTTTTTCGTATTTTTATGATTGTATCTTATAATAATATCATATCTAAATTACTACATAAAATAGAAATCCCAATACTGAGATAAATTCTTAACATTTTATTACCATATTATTTATAATAAATACATAAACCACCTAAATAAATTTTATTTAAATTAACAATTATTAAGATAAATAATTTTATATAAATTTCGCGTGCAAAACATCGCATTTCCGTTGAAATAAAAAGATCAGCTATTCATGAATGTACGGTTATTGCAATGAGAAATCCTTGAGAAAGACAAACAACTTGATTATGCAATTGTTAATTGTAATAAAGTGATTGCTTCACGACTTATTCTAATCTAAAAACTATAGATAGAAAATACAATAGTAGCGATTTTACACTTTAGACAACCATTTGACCTTTCAATACACCGAGTGGGGCGGAGGTAATTTGCCCACAAAATATTTAAAGCTGCTAATCCTATAGGTAATTTGCCCACAGCAAGTAAAAGGTCATCTTAATCCTGTTGGTATTTTGCCCAAATTTATTTCTAACTGAATAAATCATAATAGATATATCTTTCATTTATTATTTTTTATATATTATCGAAAAGTAAAAACACATTATTAATTAGACTAAAAATTATATTAAACACTAATTTTTATTATTATAAAAAAGTAAGTATACATAAGTTATATTATATTTTTTATATATTTATATTTTATTTACATATTTTTCAACTGGGAGGGATAAATGTGATACAAATTTTATATACTCTAATCTGCTGATTTGCTGCAGATCAAATCGCTGTATAAATTTTTCTAAACACTGAATTTTTTGTTTTACACTTTTGTCTTTGATTTTCTTAGGTATACTTAAGCTTTGTATTGTAACATACGTGTCGATTTGAAAGTCTTTAAGCTTTTCTATAAAAATATATACAGAAGGATGTGTACAGTAGAATGAAGAATTAAACCTTGAATGAAACGACTCACATATAAATATAAAAATGTACATTATAATTTTTAAAAAGTTAAGAGAAACATATAACATAATGAATAAACGTAAATCCACTGAAACCGACCTGCAGGCAGTGTCAGTTTGTATGTGGAAACTTTGGTATGAAAAAAAAAAATATAAATAAAATATTATTAACAATAATAAAACTAACTCAGTAAAGTATCACAATAAGGTAAAGCGTCACAATAGGGTTAATATGAGTCACAATTAGGGTAAAGCATCACATTAGGGTAAAGCATCACAATAGGGTAAAGCATCACAATAGGGTAAAGCGACAAATAGGGTATATATAAAATAATGTTTTAATCGGTATGACAGTTAAAATATAATACAATTAAAATTAATATTATCTATGATGTATAGGTACACATAGAAGGTATAACATAATTTGATACAAGAATTTATATTAGTTAATTTAGTTTATTAATAATTTATATTATTTAATTTAGTTTGGTGTCTTCAAGGTGTACTCTACGATATATTATTTATTATATTATGAAATATTACTCTGGGTGTATCTTTAATCCAAAGTTTAAGTGAATTTTTAAAGATATTTTTAAGTTCTGCTGGAATGCTGTTATAAATTTTAGTTGTTTAATTGTTTTTTCACATTTAGGTACCTTTACATTAAGGTTTTTGTTTCTGGTAGAATACGAGTGTGACAGAGGTTCTATTATTACTTTTTTTTTATGAATGTTTATAATAATTTTTTCACAATACAGTTGCCTTACGTCAAGTACATTACTAATTTGATATAATGCGTTACTAGAAAACCTAATGTTTTTTCTATATATTATTCTTAGTATCCATTTTTGTAATATGTTCACTTTATCAAGATGACAATCATAAACTCCTCCCCATCCCAGCACACCATAAGACAACTACTGTGATTGAACTAAGGCAAAGTAAAGAATACGTAAATGATTAATATCTAAAAAATCTGTCAAATATCGAAATCGACCTGTTAAGCCTCGTATTTTATTAATCAAATTATCGATTTGTGAATCCCATCGTAAATGTCTATCAATGGTTATTCCTAAATATTTAACTGCTTTCTCTTCCGGGATCTCTGTATTGTTATCAATAAGGAGATTGCCGAACCGAGGTAAGTTATTTACGTATGAAGTAAATGGTAGATAACAGGTTTTTTTAACATTTAGTGTAAGTTTATTGTATTGTAACCATTTCTTAATTTGTTTGAAATCTGTTTCTGCAGTTCGCTTTAATTCGACCCAAGAATCTGCCTGATAAAAAATCGTGGTATCATCAGCAAAAGTAAGGACCGCACCTTTGTCGTCAAGATTTAGTAAGCTATTTATATAGATAATAAAGATAATTGGCCCCAGGACTGTTCCTTGTGGAACGCCAAAGGTTACTGTTCTCGCCTCGCTTTTGGTTCCATTAATTACAACCTGCTGTCGTCTATCCGTTAAATAACTTTTTAACAGTTCATGTGGCTCCCCCCTAATACCATACGCATAAAGCTTTTTCAAAAGACTTTTGTGACAGACCGTATCAAAGGCTTTAGAGAGATCAACGAAGATACATAAGGCAGGAATTTTTTTATCAATTGTTTCATAAATTAAAGATGTTAATGCACAAATAGCATCCTCTGTTGATTTACCCGCTCTAAAACCATATTGATGATCTAAGATAATTTTATTTAGAAACTGTATTAGACGCTCTTTAAAAAGTTTTTCTATTATTTTAGATAAAGTGGATAGCAAAGATATTGGTCGGTAATTACCGACTTCTAGCTTATTTCCAGATTTAAATAAAGGCTTAATCAATCCAACTTTTAGTGATTTGGGAAAATAGCCGTTATACATATATAAATGTTATTAATTACTTTAATGATTATAATAAAGCTTGCCTGTTATTTACTGTATTCTTTTTAAACAGGAATGTATAAATAAGTTACCTACAATATGTACAAAAACTCAATTTATTAAATTTGTGTTTTATATATTATGTTCATATATGTTTTTATTATTAATATGTATTTAGCAGAAGCTAATAGATGTATTTAAAAAACAATTCCTTTAAAATATGCAAATCATTTAAGTGTTCTTTTTTTTAATTCTGGTAGTTTTGCGAAATCTATGCAACTCCACAAAAGAAAATGCCTTGACTATACTGCCGTCATAAGCCTAGCCCTCGTAACTGACAAATTACAAATATTTGAGATTATTTGACCATTTTGATACTGAAGCTTTTTTTTTCATAAAAAGTAAGCAAAATGTAATATTTATTCTATGTCTTTGATTCAACAAATGCAGCTATATTGGTACCACCGATAAAAATGCTGGCACTAATAATTTCTTTTATTGCAAATATTTCCATTTATAGTTTGCGTAGTTACTGGGGTTTTGCTTATGATGGCAGAATATCTATACAGTAAATTATATTTCTGCTTCGTCTCGTAAATAAGATATATGTCGCCCCCTGAATATGCTTCGATTCGACCACATAGTTGAAAGCTGGAACTATTTGATATATTCCCTTCTCCACCAATCCCCTCATCTCAACACTTTGCTTCAGTCTTTGTTTATGTGTTGTAAAGATCACATCTATATTGAAAATTCAAAAACAAAGTGTACCGATGACTAAACCTAATAATAATAAACATTCAAAAAAAAAAAAAAGTCGAATAAACATTTTCCGCGTTAAGAATGTGTTGTATAGATGGTTTAGCGAGAAATTCATCAATTGAATGTTTTTTGTTTTGTTTTCACTGCTAAAGAGTTAGGTATTGAACGAAAAATTTTTTTTATGATACCTACTGGTAAAAGTTCGTTTCTTCTTTACCATTTTAAATTCTAGTGTGTAGTAATTTCTTTGCGAAAGTAGTTGTTATTGGCCTTTTTTTTTATTGGCTTAAGGTAAAGAAATTTTTTTATATGAAAATAGATATACATTGAAACTTGATATCTAGTTACTTGAAATATTTGTTTTTTGCAGTAGATAATGTTGCTTATATGTATAACAAAACTGTTTTCTGACAACAGTTTTATTTTTATCCTTTATTGAATAATTGGATGATTAATGACATCGTTGGACACATTGTAATTGATAATAAATTTTATATCGTTTACTGTTTGTGATAATAGTAGGTATTGAAATTTTAATTTAACTTATGACTGTATAATCGAATATTTTCCTACACTATTTGTGATAACAGTAAATAATAGGTTACTCTCTGTAATGACAGTAGATATTTTCAGGTAATTTTTTCTGATAACAGTAGATACAAGTAGGTTACTTTTTGTAATAATAGTAGATTATTAAGATTTTAACTTAACTGATGACATTATAAATGAATATTTTCCTACACTGTTTGTGATAACAGTATATAATAGCAGTT